CAAGTCTTAGCTAAAAGCCTAAATTTTTTCCCGCGCAAATGTTTTTATAATACCACCGCTAGTATTACGTTGTCATAGCAACGCCACTCGTAAGTCGATTTTGCGTACTTACGAAGTTTTGATAATACGGCCCCAGGAAGAGCCGGTAATCTGATCCCTTCCAGTTGGCTAGGTCGAGGTCACACTCGCGGTTGAAGTCGGATGGCACATGGCTTCTCATTTTAATTAATGCACATCTCGTCAAATTTAGTATTAGACAAGCTTCCAAGGTGTGCTTTTACGAATTTTTTTTATTGGAGCAACGCTTCATCCCAGTAAACGGGATGAAGAAATTAATTAATTTATTACATCCTGATAATAAAGTAGCTCAAATGCATAACATCCAGCACAAAACCAGAAACCACAATTGATCGCCTGCAGTAATGGGATCTTTCCTCTGTGATGCCTATAGGATCTAACCTAGGAGATCTGTTATGCCTAGGATCTAACCGAAAACTCTCATTACACCTGACAGGGCAAGAGTTTTCATACCTAACAAAATGCCCTTCTCTGTAAACACCAATTTTGACACAACGCTCATTGCTGTGATAAGCAGTGTGTGGGACAATTGATTTCAGTTCTCCGCGAACAAAATGAATGGACCAAGAGAAACAAAAAAGTACAAAGACTGCCGTCAAGAGAATTTAAGAGTTGCATGTCCAATTGAAAAGCTTCAAGAAATTCTTCACAAGATATCATTCCCTTGTGATGGCGCAATAAATGTCCACAAAATAAATAAATAAAGCAATAAATGCCCACAGTTATGACATGATCAGGAAATTTCAGAGGATACTAGGATAGAATAGTATGTATATTTATTTGTGTTTTTGAAAAGAAGAATACCATCTTTGTTAACAGAGAGGCTGACATGTTGCACACAGCCTTCACAATACTTTCATTCAAGAATTGATGTCACTTGTTTGCTTAAATCGCAAATTAACTAAGAATTTAAAAGCGAAGAATAGTCCACAAAAATTCATATCTTTATAGAAAACGTTTCGGAGTCCAGCTCCATCGTCAGTTCGTAGAACCTAGAATCACAATTAGAAGTCACAAATTAATACATTGAAAGCACAGAAATAAATTAAAAACCTAAACTTACAAATAATGGACGGAGCACTCCTGAAAACTTTAATAGCTAGTTTTTTTTTGTGCTCCGTGGATTCAACATTTTTAATAACTTTGTGGCATCACCATTAGGTAATATTTTTTTCTATGCGGCCCACTTACCTATTATATATTATAAATCATTCATATTCACAGGGATCAACATTAGGAATAGTTTTGCTTGAACTACTTAAATGTTCACATAAATGACTAGATATACTTGTGCTCACATCTTCAGGCTGCGCTAAACTTGTGGAACTTGATGGAGAAGACTAGTGATGTATTACTTGAGTCAGCATCACTAACATTTGGTGCAAAGCCGGGGTAGTAGCAAGTGAATGAGATTGACTATTTTCTCAATTTCTAGATGTTGACTTTCCTATTCATGATACACCAAACACCTAGAAACTATTCTTCGTTCTGCCTAACTGACAAGTCAGCAAAAAGCTCAAAAATTGAATCATTGTAATCTGCAGCTGACTGAGTGGAGTACCTAGTAAATAATGATTAGCCAGGTAGTGCAAATAATTTTGGTAGTGAATAGGCAATAGATTTTTCTTATTGTTCTGAAGGGGAGCATGTAGAAAAAAAACTTTTGTATCTAGGGAAGGATCATCTTGAAACTTGGTACACATATGTAAATAAAAAATCGAAAACTTTCTGTGGTTTGTAAATATTTTGAAAGAAATGAAAGTAAACGTGAAATTCATAGAAAACGGCATAAAAGGGGTGGTACTAATTTCTTCATTCAATTAACGTGCTACAACATCGAGAGACATATGTCTCGATTCGTAAAGACCATATCTAGCGATCATCCGATCACTTTTTCAATTTTAAAGATATTTTCACTTCCCACCCCCCCCCTTCCCCCCAATTTGTTCATTATATATTCAAAACAAAAAAGAAATCAGACAAAGGGACATGATNGAGACGCTTCTCTGATGAATGATGGGACAAGACATGCCATTTCAGATTTCTTTCAGAGGCACAAACATATTCACACTCAGTGCAGCGTAGAGGTGTCCCAGTTGTATGCTTGGATAATACATGCCTTTTCAAGTCGCTGTTAGTGACGAAAGAATATTTACAATCCGAGCACTTGAAAGGTTTCACAGTGGAATGCTTGTATAGTATATGTTTCTTCAGATCGCTTTTAGTGACGCAAGTATGTCCACATTCTGAGCAACTTAAAGGCATCTCCGATGTATGCCTGTTAAGAATATGGCATTTGAGGTATCGTTTACTGGAACACATATATTCACATTTAGAGCATCTGAAGTTTCCTTCTTTTGAATGTTCTGCACGAATGTGTCGCTGGAGTTGCTGTTCAGAACTGCAACGAAATTCACAGTCCAAGCATGAGTGTGTATTTGAGGTCGACTGCTCAATAGGTAGGGGTTGTTTCAGTTGGGTTGTAACTACGGCATCAGTAAATCTACGCTGGGAATACGTAAGCCTGTTGCTGTGTTCCTGGGAGCACGATGCTGCAGAAGCGCTGACGCTGCCAGCATGGTATACAGAATCGATCTCGGATGCAGGCTGCTCTTTTTTCTTGCCCTGAGGAGTTTGTAAGGGAATCAGCATCAGCACACGATCCATACCAACATTGATCTATGTGGAATTATTCACTGTGTTCCATTCTAAAGAATTAGGTAGTGTACACCTGGGTAACAACTTCTATTTGTCTAGATTTCCCAGCTTTGTAGTTTCATGTCGTCTAAGAACCAGAAAATAGATCTTGAGTAAAATTTGGTTATTCAATTTATCTGGAACTGTAATACATGGTGGACAGGAAACGAGCGATTTTGCGGGTGAGAGAGAAGAACATGGAAAACGTGAACAGTCCCACAGCAAAGAAATGCAGAATCTGCAGCTACAGTATTGCTCGAAAGATTGCTAGAATGTAAAATGAATCTTTTGCATCAAAATAGGTATCTTCACAGTTCAACAAACATCACAGCAGGAAGCATTTTTGCTTAAAAGATACCAGACTGATATTCCAAGAACAAACAAAGAGCAACTGACAGGTCAACTCGGCATTTATCCAGAGTTTGGTGAAAAACAACAATGGGATGCAATAGAAGCTCGATACAAAGTTTTGGCTTGCAAGTAATAAAATAGACTTAATTTGTGGCCAATGTGTTAAGCACAAGCAAGTTTAGTCTGTTGGGCAAAAAATAGAGAATCCAATTAAAAAATAATAGGTACTGTACTCAAATAAACATCGGCGCAGGGGATGCGACAGAAAAACGTATTCATTGTACAGGCATAAAAGTTATCTCTTCAAGCCCCAATGAAGGTTTCAAATAAACTGTTTTTTTTTGGAGAATTTAGGCATAGACTCAGGTGGTAATGCCATAGCCATTTTCAACTGGACAACTTAATGTTCAGACTAGGAAATGTTTGGAGTCCTCACCGTAGGTGAAAAATAGGAATGTGCATGCAATTTCAGAAGGGATACTAAATTGAATATTTTCACATTTAATGTGGTTCCTTTCTATGTGGTTCTAATCTAATGTGGTTCCATTTTCTATGCAAAATTTTTACATTTTTTTTGCATTTAATGATCAAGCACAATAATAAATTTATGAATGATGCTGGAGACATGAAATCCCAAAAATTTTTGGAATTGACTAAAAAAATTGATTTGAAAACATTGAAGTCTTTGCTGCTATCAAGACAAACTACCTACCTCCATATCAGGCACGGCAGGGGCGAGCGAGAGGAGTTGGCGGGCTGCTTGTGCATCAGAAGTCTCGACTTGCGCTTCCATCTTGCCAGCCACGCAGGACGATGGACTCGGCGCTTGCTGGGCCTATACTTTCAAAAAAAAGTTAAGAGATCTTAAATTCATCAGCCAATCATTGGCGGCCCTTCAAGCCAAATCCACCAATCACAGACAAGAAAATAGTGCGTAAGTACTTACGTTCACTTAGCGAGTTTTGAAAGTATTGCCCCTGGTCTCCAAATCCATGACTGGGAGGCTTACATGAACAAGCCTTCCACGACAATCAGGAATATTACTTACATATGCAAGAGAGGAAATCAAGGAATTGCTGCAGACTGATAATGTAGGAAGGAAGTCATTATGAAGCTAATTGGGATTTTTAAACAATTTTTCAGGTTGTTAAATTTAGGTTGCTTTAAACCATGAAATATGATACAGAGGACAAGTCTACCAGTCTGTTATTTTCAACTCCAGTTCAACCCTACAACTGAAGCAGAGCCATGCTAGGACTGGCAGACATAATGACGGTGACAGAAATTCACTAGTTCACTGGCAGAAAACACCATAAACCCATATTGAAATGCATGGCTAATCATGATCCATTAAATGAATCATGTTTTTGACACAGTATCAATAAGCTGGCGGGCCAGCAGAATCAGTTATGGACAGAAACATTGTTGACTAAACTTAAACAAGAAAAAATTAATAAAATGAAGCTTCATTTTATCAATTGTTTGGGTAAAGTGGTTGCAAAAAATAATGCAATACTTGTAACATGATGAAAAATTATTCTTATTGATTTATAATTATTTACTCATTCCATATACTAATTCTCAACATTTAATGATGCTTACTAGGTAACCAACAACAAATTTAGGAATAGAAATCAACAAATTAAATGCATCTTTGTCAGGGTTGGCAATGATTAAATCACTTGATTTTTATAAAAAAATCATGGATTTTTTATTATTTATATTTTTTTGATATTTTTATATATTTAAATATATTGAGTGGCAGTCTTCAATTTATTTTGAAATATTGTTATTCATGGTTTAGTATAAATGTACTATGACAAATTGGAATATGAATCTGTTGCCTTCAGTCTTAGTGTGTATTACGTTCCAATGAATTGTATGTTTTTGGTACAGAAGCATCAAGTGTTGCAATACATTGTACATATAACATAGCTAGCAGCTTAGCTAATTCTTATAAGGCTATAAGTAGTCTTTAACTATTTGACTATTTGTTATATATTGATTACAATATACAATTTAAATGTGTCAGCTAGCTTATACCTGTCTCTTATACACATCTAGATGTGTATAAGAGACAGACCTGGAGTTATTTGGAGTTATTTTACCAAAAAATAAAATTGATTTTACCACCCGGTCAAAGAAACCCCAAGAGCTGGGGTAACAAAGACCATCACTTTTTTTGAAATTACATCAAAACTATGAGAGGCAGGAAGGAGCCAGCAATTTATGGTGAGTAAAGCTAGAGTATAGACCTGTATTTTGCATGTTTCAATTTAAGTTTAACTTATCTAGTAAAAAATGGTATTTTGAAAAAAAAGTGGTTAAAGTTACCCCATTTTACGGTACCTAGCTTGTGTAGGTACTTGGTGCATTCCTACCTATTCAGCTTACCATCAGACTCGACTCTGCACACCTCAGGTGTTTGGATGAGGTTCAGCTCAGCATGCCAGCCCCTCTTGACAGCAGCATCAGAGAGCTTGTGCATCACCACACGGCACTCTTTCATCTTAATCTTCATGATAATTACTATATTTGTGCTGATCCAAGTTAAACTGAGACCTAGTGATTATCAAAACTCAGAAAATATCAACAAAGTCAGAGCATTAACTGCAATAATTTTATTAGGCAATGACAACAATGTACAAACACTATCAGGGTATAGGTCACAATTCATTATTTCACAGAAATATATGTAAGCTCTTCTCACTGGAAATACAACATTTTGTACTATCATACAGAGCATGCAGTCTATTTACCACGTGTACGCAGCCATGTCAAATTTAACTTGCTGAAAAGCATCTATTTTAGACCTAGTTCACCAATAGTTTTATTCTTTACTATCCTTAACAACTTGCAACACAAATTTTGTTTCAATGACTTACTTAAAAAAAAAAAGAATTGAAACACAAGCTTATAGTAAAATCACCAAAACAACATGAACTAAATGATATTATAATAAGTCAGAAATTTAAGATTTTATCAGCTGGAGCACCTCTCACCAAGCAGAAACTCATCCAAAATATTACAGTTTCTTGAGATTAAATTATACAATTACTTGGAAGGAAGATTTTTTACCCTTAAAGATGTTAATTTAATATGAACATGAGAAGCTATTCTGTAAAAAATGTGATGTTAACCTTTTTGAAGGCATGCATAGATAAATGAACAAATTTGAATTTCATGAGCCACTATGATGAAGAATGGGCAATTATAAGATAAATTTATTGGTATGAATTATTTTAAATTTCACATGATATTGGAGAAAATAGCAGATTAAAATTCCACAAAAAGCAGTAACTACTCTAAAAAAATTGAAATTTTTCCATTTTATTTTATCAGAATCAAAGGGAAACTATCAAGTTGCAATTTGACTTAATTTTATCCAGCTTCTTCTAATTATCTACATTAATATTACTTCTTCAAACTTTTTAAAAAATGTGTAAAAAGCATCTATTACACTGTCCAAGTCAAAACTTTGATTTAAATGCTCATATTTTAATTTCTGGGTATGACGGAAGGTGAGGCCATGTATGGATGGATGGGCAGATTGCAAATTGTCAGAAGTGTGATAACATAGCCTCAAACATTAGAAATTTAAAAGCGAAGAAAACTCTACAAAAATTCAGCATTTCTCTATTGAATGCTGAATAATTGAATAGAGAAATGCTGCATTTTTGTGGAGCTTTCTTCGCTTTTAAATTTCTAGTGAATCTGCAATTCAAGCAATCTAGTGACATTATTACTAGCCTCAAACATAAACCAGAGACAAGCTGGGCTTTTTTTGGAAGAAGATTTTAAGTGACCATAAATGGTAACTTGCCCATAAAAGGGGGTTAACAATACACATTTTGATTTTTTTTCAATTTTTTTCCAAAGTTATTTTCTTCTTGATGCAACCTTTGTCAAGAATTTTAATCAGAACCCTCCATCAAAGACATATTTTTCCAATAGATAGCTTTAATCAAATTGAAGTAAAAAATGTTGTAACTTTTATTCACAGGTTAGTGATACACAACACCCATATTTCCATATTCGAATTCGATAATGACTTGACTAGAAACATTCTTTTATAAATGAGAACAAACATTGATTAAAATTGCATTATAGTATACATTGAAATGATGCACTTGACTACAATGCTAGAAAATGTCCTGGATAAAATGAAGTCATTTTGGGCTCATCAAAACTGGAGTTAGGGATTAGCAGCATGCCTTTCTCCTTCAGCTTGTTAGATTGTTTCACTAATTTGATGAATTAAGAACATTATTTTACAAATTGACTACAATATTTGTTAATGGGCAAAGTGCTTTAGACTACTGGTATTGTAATTTTAGTATAAAAAATGACACAAGCATGGAATTATCTAGCAGAAAAGAGAATAGATATAGTGAAGCCTGGAAAATGTGGGTACTCTACTAGATATCATAAATAACACATTCAAACCAGCCAAAGAGAAATTAATATAAAACAGAGAAAATCTAAATAGAAATAGAGCATAAATACATGCAATGATTAAAAACATTCAATTGAAAATAGAATTAGATAAAGCTTTCTCCATTTAATACATCTCACATATGAAAATGCAAGTATGATGTGAATAATACTGGCAATAAGGCAGAATTATGTTTATCCACTGCAAGCTTCATATCAGCAGCCTTATAGCATTTTTCTTCATCTGTAAGCTTACAGGATGGCTTGTAATCTCACACCATTTTAATTACATTAAGTGAATTTACTATAAAAAAAGATCGTGGAAAACATACCTGAAACAGATAGGAATGTTTTAGTGACAACCATCATATGTTTTGGAGAAATAAATCACAGTTTAGGTCAATTACTTTTCATTCTATGATGCCTGGTGCTCAATTCTATATGTGACATTCCTTGCACAATTTTGTGATGACCGATGATGCACTAATTTTTCAATAAGTGAAATTTTTTCGCTGAGCAAGGTAAATGTAATAAATATTCTTTGTTTCTAATCAATTTTTTTCTTAACTGGAGCCTTAGCTAACTGAGGTTCTACTGTTAATGCGCTTTTGGGGGTGTCCCGAATAGCCCTGGGGGGGTGGCCCGAGTAGCCCCACCGTGCCGAAATGGCTGCCATTTTTTTTGGAATGAGATAGGACAATCCCGTCAATTACATTTTCAAGCCGACACCTGGGTGCATCTTTAATGCAAGTAAAATGTTTTAATACGGCAATTTTTTTTTTTTGCTGCAGACCTTAGCAGAAGTAACTTTTCAAAATAGCATTTTGCACCATTTTTTTCAGGAATTTTTCAAAGCTAGTATATGTAGTATTTTTCAACTTCCTTTATACTACATAGATAGGAAAAATGTTGACGTTTATGCCAATATATTTAGTTTTGCAATATTCCAATTAGTTCTGCTACTATAACAGTTTTACGCCGTGTTGGAGGACTGTCCCGAGTTACCCCCCCAGTCCCGAGTAGCCCCAGTTGACGGTAGATCAGCATTAGTTTTATTCTTTACTATCATTAACCAACTTGCAACACAAATTTTGTTTCAATAACCTACTTTAAAAAAGAATTGAAGCACAAGCCTATAGTAAAATCACCAACACAACATGAACTTAATGACATTGATAAGAAGACAGAAATTTAAGATTTTATTAGCTGGAGAACCATTCACCAGGCAGAAACTCAACCAAAATAATAAAGTTTCTTGAGATTAAATTGCCTATACAGTTCCTTGGAATGAAGATTTTTTACCCTTAAAGATGTTAATTTAATATGAACATGAGAAGCTATTCCATAAAAAAAGGTGATGTTAACCTTTTTGAAGGCAAGCATAGAAAAATGAACAAATTTGAATTTCATGAGCCACTATGATGAAGAATGGGCAATTATAAGATAAATTCATTTGTATGAATTTTTCAAAAGTTTGTATGATATTGGAGAAAATAGCAGAAGAAAATTCCATAAAAAGCAGTAACTACTCTAAAAAAATTGAATTTTTTTCATTTTATTTTTTCAAATGCAAAGGGAAACTATCAAGTTCCAATTTGACTTAATTTTATCCAGCTCCTTTAAATTACCGTATCTTCATTAATATTACTCTTCTGAATTTTTAAAAAATCTGTAAAGAGCATCTATTTCACTGTCCAAGTCAAAACTTTGATTTAAATGCTCATATTTTAATTCCTGGGTATGACGGAAGGTGAGGCCATGTATGGATGGATGGGCAGATTGCAAATTGTCAGAAGTGTGATAACATAGCCTCAAACATTAGAAATTTAAAAGCGAAGAAAACTCTACAAAAATTCAGCATTTCTCTATTGAATGCTGAATAATTGAATAGAGAAATGCTGCATTTTTGTGGAGCTTTCTTCGCTTTTAAATTTCTAGTGAATCTGCAATTCAAGCAATCTAGTGACATTATTACTAGCCTCAAACATAAACCAGAGACAAGCTGGGCTTTTTTTGGAAGAAGATTTTAAGTGACCATAAATGGTAACTTGCCCATAAAAGGGGGTTAACAATACACATTTTGATTTTTTTTNCACCAGGCACAACCAGCCACCAGGCACAACCAGCACCCAGGCACAACCAGCCACCAGGCACAACCAGCCACCAGGCACAACCAGTCACCAGGCACAACCAGCTACCAGGCACAACCAGCCACCAGGCAATCACTCCTCATACTGTTTTCACTATTTTCTTACTCATCTCGGTGAGAAATCTTATCTAGGGTTCCTCAAAGAAAAAAAATAGGTCAGTTATTTTGTTTCTTGTTCTGAATTGATTTGCTGATAAATATTTCATTATATCTAAAATTACCGGTCCCATCAAACGGGGTGAAAAGGGATGGTTTTGAGCGTTTTTTGTTAATAACTTCTTACCATGAAACATTTCAGAGACAAGTTCTGGCTCATTTTAAAGGTCTTTGCAAGGGCTATCATATGGCATCTCCAAAAAATGTTCTATGCTATTTGTAAGGAGCACGCAATATAAATGGCTCCTGAATTAATCTGGAAATGGGGTAAAAAGGGACACTTGAAATAAAACTCAATTTTAAACATTTGAAGCATGCAGAGTGTACTCCTCCATTACTAACAGTACTCTGAAGTCCTCCTCTTTCATTGTAGATGATGTAGATGTAAAATAAATGACATTTTCTGTAATTTTTACTTGTTTTTCCTTTATTGATATGATATTACCATATTCATTAATTACCGCATTATTAATGTGATTTTACTGTATCCATGAACATGCCATTGAGCATTGACAATGACCTTGTCCACTGCAAGCTTCATATCAGAAGAATCAAAATTCTTTGTTATTAATCAATTTTTTTGTTAACTGGAGCCATTGCTAACTGAATTTCTACTGTAAATGCATTTTTAAGGGTGTCCCTAATTACCCCGGGGGGGTGTCCCTTTTTACCCTGTTGCGCGGAAATGGCTGCCATTTTTCTAGAATGAGATAGGCAAATTCTGTCAATCAAGTTTTCAAGCCATTTTATGTAAGTAACTTTTATGTAAG